CACGCCCTTGGCGGTGGTGGTTGCTAAAGTTACAAGTAAGGCCCTAAATGCTTCAAAAATGACTAACAGAATTAACACACAGTTCTCTGAAGATTTCTTGAATTCTTATCATCAACGGAATCTTTAATCGATTTTACAGTATTTCTTCTGTCAGTAATAGCTCAATGCAAAATGAAAATTTAGTACTTTCAAAATAGTCTAATCACATTTAATTTCAGATCATTTCGTTAGAATAACGTAATTCCTTTGAGTTATGTTTAGCTATATAACTTTCGATTATTACGTAAAGTACGAGTAATATCCCAACCGGATCTAATTGAAATGACATATTACTGTGGCTGATGTCTTGCTACTAGCGTGGACGTAAATCGGCAATAGGTTTGGTTAGACTGTGCGTCTTCAGCTAATTGTTACAATTGCTGTCATTACTACCACAACTAAAGTCACTGCCATGTCGAATCATTTGTGAAGCTCCAAATTTCGGTACCTACGCCGAGCAACCCTTTTCTAAAATGAAAGTTGATCATCAATTACAGTAGGAAACGGAAAAAAAGGCCGCAATAATAACAATTAAACAATTTAGCAATTTTCTAGATTTGTTTATGTCGTCGAGACAAGTTATAATAAAACGTATAATGAGTGCCAATTATTACGGGTAATTTATTCGAATTATGGTAAAACCTTGTTAACACGAGAATGTGACAAAATGTTACAGTTCGCTTGTCGCAGAAGCCTTTGGCGTTGATGCAATTTGTTAAAATAATGACGATAATAATAAAAAAAAGGTTATGCGACGTGATGCTGTCATGTCGCGAGACTCCTCTCCAGGGAGACCTTTATTTCATTTTTACGGTAGAGTAATAACGCTCGGACTGTATTTATGCAAACACTTACAAATGCGTTTGCTGCGAAAATACTAACAACTCGAGATTTTTATCATCTCTGGAATATATCATTACATCAACGCTTACTTTTCCCACGTCGCGGTCATATCAATGATTTAATTCCCACAATGCGATTGAACGTGATCACACGACTTACCCTCACGCCCCACGCCCACAATAATTATCTATTCTTTACATTTTCTTCAGAGTCCATGTCTGTACTAAAATGAATAATTTTAAACTATAAATTCGTGGTCATTGCCTCAATTTTATTTTCTACAATACTTGATAAAGAGTTCCGACAATAAAGTCATAATTTTGAAATATGGGACAGCCCCCCCCCCCCATTGCTTCAAAAGTGATACGTTTGGAAACGGTCGATTATCGAGGAAAATATAATAGATATAAAAAAAAATTATACAAAAGTTTTGGGACAGGCAGTGTTTAATTATACAGGGTTGGTCATAAAGGTGTGGCACACCAAAATTGCATTTTTTGAAATGGAATGTGCTATATATCATTCGATATAAATTCTTCTTTCAATTTTAAAGAAGAATTTGTAAGTAGCATAAGTTCAATCGTTAACGGGTTATCGAGTTTTGAAAATAAACACTGCAATTCTGAAAACGGTCGATTATCGGGGCAAATATACAAGGCATCCAATAAGGTGTTATACAAAAGTTTGGAGGTTCTTCGATATCTACTAGGCAATAGTAATTTTAATTATACAGGGTTGGTCACGAAGACGCGGCACGCCAAATTTGCATTTTTTGAAATGGAACACCCTGTATATTATTCGATATTTCAAATCTTTTTCTAATTTTAAGCAAAAATTGTAAGAAACATAATGTACTTAATTCAATCGTTTCCAGGTTATTGAGTTTTGAAAAGAAACGATAATTAAAGAAATCACGATTTCTTTGAAAACATTATGTGGTGCTGAAAAGGACCGATTATGATGTTTGTTATGATTGTTTATAATTATTGTTAATTATTGTTCTTCATTCAATCATTCAATCAATTCCAAAATAATAGCGTGTATTTACAAAATTTTATAACCTGCAAACAATTGGAACAATTGAAATATCAAATAATATACAGGGTGTTTCATTTAAAAAAATGCAATGACCAACCCTGTATAATTAAAATTATTAGTGCTTGGCAGACATCGAAAAACCTTAAAAGTATTGTATAAACCTTTTTTACCTTGAATAATTTCGGTATAATTACAAAAATGAAATAAAGGTAAGAAAATAGAACATTCGGCGGTAGTTTAGTCCAAATTTGTAGATGGTGACGGCGGCAGGGAAATGTCCATGAACCTAGCAGAGCAAGGTCAGCAGCACACAATCAAACATATTGCATAATAAGGTGCGAATTAGGTGCTAATTAAGTATTAAAACCTACATAATTATTAGTTAGTTCACTTTTCATTTTCTTGGGTTTTTAATAGTAGTGCTCTGCTGAGTTCATATGAACCTGGCAAAACATTTAATAATTTAAAGAAAAAAGGAGCATTTAATTCCGGAATAGGGCATTTAATTAGCACATAATTATTCAATATGTTTGATTGTTTCTACTGACCTTGCTCTGCTAGGTTCATAGACATGGCAGGGAACGGGGAAACGGGAGTGCTTCGAGCGACACTAGAAGTTTTCCGTCTCACTTGCTTCTGGACAAGATGCGGTCGGCGATGGTAAGCTGGTGTTGCCAAGGTGAATGCTAAAACAAACTTAAAGCGCACTCTAAGCGAGAAAAGTAAACAATCGGATTCGATAGCGATTTCTACGGGAAAGCAAATTAACGCACGAAAGCGCCACCCAATGCAAAAGCTCCTATCTAAATTAAGCCTTTTGATCCATTTCGGTGGAATCGTCTGTTTTTCTTGTTCGACGGCGTGTGCCATGAAGGATCAAACCAGTCGATCCCCTCCCCCCACCCCCTCTTTTGATAAAGAGTCAGAAAGAGGGACGGCAGTTCCTTTTGTTGAGACCTTTAATTAGAAACACATGAAAGATAATATTAATTTCTACCTTCTCCCACCTACTGATCTCGAAAAGGAGTCGCGCAGGAAAGTTATAGTTTGTGAAAACCAATGAATTTCGGTGAGATCTTTCATTAGAATACCATGAAGGGTAGGACTTGTGTTTCCCCCCCCCCCCCCATTTCCAAAAAATTACTTGGCACTACTAAAGACGTATGCAAAGTCTTAGAGTAGTTGGTTGTCGCATGTAAAAGTTATGTACGTTTTATTTTCAAAAACAGTACCTCAGGAAATAATTTGGGGGGGGGGGGGGCTTGAGACAGCGAAATTTGATGATCGTCTGGCACACCTTCAAGGTATAGGCTACCTACTGCAAAATTCCAGGATTCTGGGACCATTCTCCTAAAGTATTTCAAAACCGTAGAGGTGGGTCCGGACAAAACGGAACCAATACCACCATTTTTTTATAATTTTGAGAAAATGCACTAAACATTTTATATTAATCTGTCGAGCCATTTAGGAGTGCGACCACAAATACCGTAACACGAGATTTTTATATATTGGATTTGTTTAAGAATTTCTGTAGGAATTCCTCAAATAATACAAATTTCTACCAAAAGAGGGCGGTGGTTTTGATGCCTGTATTCCTTCATGACTATCAGACCACCAGTTTTCTCCTATCATTATTCCTACTTTTTTGAAATTGATATAGAAGCAAGCAGATACCAGAGAGAATTAATCCTCGTACCTGCTCAGAAATATTCCTCCTGGTTACCTCAGGATTTATCCTGGCAATCTGGATTAAGAGATCTTCCAGATACCCTTGTCCCGATATTAATTATCCACTTCAAGTATAGTATTTATTGACTGCGTTCGTAAATTGCACCGGTTTACTGCACGCAGGATATCAAACCGTATAAATTGACCGAGGCGAGTTCGGCATAAACCTTGCCCTGTTCCTTCAATTTGAAGCATGGCGTTAGCATAGACTTAGCGCACTCTCCCTCGGCTCTCCCGGCAAGTACAAGTAGAATAAATTGACATCAAAAGATTTACCAACAGCTTTAATTACGATTTCAAAATTTTATAAATAAAAAGCTAACTTCACATGCGCAAGAAATGCATATTGTAGCGAGTATTCTAGACATCGAGGCGCCATCAAGTCGATAAAAAATTAGTCACCGACTATAAGAATGAAAACGGATGCGACGCATTCTTTTCTTGAAAAATGATACCCCATCTAGACTGTAGACTAATTCTTGGTATAAAATAGAAAAATTTAACGTGAAAAGTCTTCTCTAGAGCGTTAATTTGACTTGATTACCTAAACACGAACTAAGTATTTACAGATACAACAAACTTATTTAACATCAATCAATCAAATATTCCGAAAGAAATGCAGGCTTTCACGACCAGACGACAAATACCACGCAGCGATCGATAGAAACAATTAATTAAATAAATCTTAACTATCCAAGTGTTACTAATCCAAAATTTCTAATCGTAATTGCGATTTAAAATGAATGACGTATAAAACAAACACAAACTGAAGATACTTCGGAACTTCACCTTTTTTATTGCACTCAAGTTTCGAGTTACAGATGTAAAAATGGCTTTTTGATGGCGGAATAACTCAGGCTTCATCTGCACGATAGACACCAGTCTCAACTAACCTTCTTCGTAAACGTAATATGCGCTTCCACTTAACTTGACAAACGTTCACTTTCAACGACGAATTAAAAATCTCTTAGACAAAAACTTTCCAACTGGCAAGACTAACTGTCTTGCAATAATACGCTTAAATACGTCAGAATTGCCAATCACCAAAACAATAAGCGTCTTCGTAAAACAACGATTAACGTACTGCTTTTCCATTTAAAACATTTCTCTTTAACCTTATGCTCTTTTCCTTAACAAATCAATGCGTCGTTAAGTGCTAAACGTTAAACTGCAATTGTGTTTTCTTATCTTGAAACTAATTAGCTTACATCGCGACAACAAAACTTCTTATGCCTTCTCGGTGTGTACAATAAATGCCGAAAGGATGAAATTTTCGCCTGAACCTTATTTTTTTAAATACAAATAACGCAATCCGTTACATGTTGCGAAAGGGTGGTCTGGAAATAGCATCATTACCCGTGGGCGGAAATATTTAATACATCCAATACAGTGAATAGTAATTAAAATTCATTTTTCTTAGCCTGCACAATGTAAAGTAACGAAGCAAGCGACGGGGGTGTCCAAAAAAACCTTCTGTTAAGCAAATTGTACAGATATCCACGTACGTCAATTATTTCGCAGTTATCTACAAATAAACTGTTTAAATGAAGTTTCAACAGGCTGTAACTCACTCGAAATCAGCAACTGCTGCGTCTCCTGCGGAGCAATGCACTGTTTTCGATCGTGCATTCCCTTAGGTATGAGCCCCAAAACGTTTTCAAAGAGTTTTATATTAATCAACCAACTCCAAAATGAATTGCTGACGGCTGTTAGGAATAGCAATCCGTTGGGCTTGAGACACTTCGTGCACGATTTAATGAAGTAGTCTTTGTCATCGACGTGTTCCAAAACGAAGCTGGACACTACGACATCGTATTTTTGCGCGTTGTTTTCCGCGTGGTTTTCGGCCGACTCCGCCATGTACCTTATTTTGGACGTTGTTGGGTTGGTTGACGCGTGCGCTTTTGCCAGTTCTAGCAGTTCGGGGGTGACGTCTATTGCCGTTAGCTCGCATCCCATTTCGGCAATTCTTTCGGATAGAATTCCACCTGCAACACCATTTTTTACCGATCGAGCGCATTTCAATTTTTATTTGATACCTCCACAGCCTACTTCCAGAATTTTCACATTTTGCAATGGTGTACTGCTGCCTGCAACTTCCGCTGTGACCTGTTCATTGCGAATTATACAATCTCTAAGGTAAGGCGCTAAAAGTTTGCTGTTCTTGTGCAATAATAGCATCTCTCCGTCTTCATCCCACCAGTTTTCACAAAGTTGCTTAAAGTACAGCACTTCCTTTTCACTTACAGTTGTCGCACGTGTAACGGCGTCGCTTCCCATTTTGGAACTGCAACGTCTATTTGACATTGAGATATTAAGCAATACTGAGATATAAATAAGTTCAGATAGGCATTTTTTAAGATTAATAGTTATCAGCAAAGTCTATACGTATATCGTGTCGATCACTTGTACAGCGGTTTTTATAAATGCGTAATTTGCGTAGGACAATGAGAGTTAAAAAATTTGATTACAATCGTCTGCGATGTAACCTGTAACCCTGTAAGTTGAAAAGCGATTTTAACTCATAATCCACTACGCCGCTAGCTAAATTATGATGCAATATCCTACTGGATCAAATGACCATGTGTTCTTACGGAAATCACGATGGCGCTTTTTTAATTCAAAACACAGAATAAACTGAAAGAGAGATCAATAAATTTGTAGATCTACCACTAGAAGAAGTGGGGTGAACTAAGCTTAAACGTGCCATCTTTCGCATCGACCATAAACTAGATTCACTTTGTTCTTATCTCATGTGCTTCTGATTCGTAACGGGAAACATACCATGTTAAATGACTCTCAAAAAATTACTTACCACTTACAAACTTACACTCTCACGCGTTATCTGACCCGGCCACAGCTTCGCCACTGTAATAACTGCCTTAGAGAGAACTCTGCTTTCTGGTGATAGCTTCTTCTCCGAGCGTTCATTAGTTTCCGATGTTCCTATCCTTTGGTCTCGGTCCCTTCCCCGTTTTCCTCCGTGTTCCTCCTCTTTTTATTGTTGTTTTCTCCCTGCGTTAGTTTCTGTCCCCCCTCCCTCCTCCTCTTGGCCACTTGTGCTTGTCTGATTCTTCCTCCACCTCCAGTATTCTTCCGCTTTCTTTCTTCATTTGATGTTTGTCTCTGCTCCACTCTTCCCATCTTCCCATGGGAATCCCCAAGGCCTCTACCGCTTGGTTTATGGTGGTGTTCCATTCCGAGGCACATAGATTCTTGACAGCCCGTAGCATATGGTCTTTAATCCTCCTGTTTATATGTCCCCACTATCTCATCTACCTCATCTTCACTCTCCTGGTGATCATTTTTCCCTTTAGTAATATCCTTATCTGCTTTCTTGTGAGGTTGTTGTTTTATAATAATAATAATAATAATAATAATAAGAATATGGACGAGAATGAAACTTATAAGTATCTTGGTTTTCAGCAAAATACACATATTAAACATACGAGTATAAAACAAACACTTATCACACAATACCTACAAAGAGTACGCAGTATACCTACTTAAAACAAAATTACACGGTAGAAATACAATCAAAGCTATTAACACTTATGCCATACCAGTGCTTACATACTCTTTCGGGATTATACGTTGGACAAATACAGATTTAGAACAAATACAGAGAAACACACGTACACTATTAACAAAACACCATATACATCACCCTCACTCCTCCAGTATACGACTTTACCTTCCTCGTTCGGAAGGAGGTAGAGGACTTACAGATATAAAACTATTACACCAAACAGAAATACACAATTTACGACAATACTTTTATAACAAATCAGATACTTCAGTCTTACACAAAACAGTAACATATGCAGACAAATCTTACACACCACTTAACCTACACGAAACTAATGTACTCCCACACACATCCAAACTTACATACATCACAAATAACATACAGACATGGAACCAAAAGCCTTTACATGGACGATTTCCACAAGAGGTTGGCCAGGATTGTGTTGACTCTATAGCAACGCACAGTTGGTTGTCTGAATGTGATGTCTTCCCGGAGACTGAGGGTTTCATGTTAGCAATACAAGACCAGGTCATTAACACACGCAACTATAAAAAACACATACATAAAGATAAAACAGTGACAAATGATTCTTGTCGACTTTGTTCACAAACATCAGAAACAATCCAACATATAATATCGGCATGCACACGACTTGCACAAACTGAATACAAACATCGACACGATCAGGTAGCTAAAATCATACATCAAAAATTAGCACTTAAACACATTCTCATAACAGATACGACACCATACTACAAATACACGCCACAGATCATACTCGAAAACAACACACACAAATTATATTGGGACAGGACACTACTCACAGATAAAACTATCCACAATAATATACCAGACATTACACTTATAGATAAAACACAAAAATCCATTTGTATTATAGACATTGCCATCCCCAACACTAACAACTTAACTAAAACACATGCAGAAAAACACCGCAAATACACCGATATAGCTATCGAGCTTAAGACGCAATGGAGAATGAAATCTACTGTTATAGTTCCCATTATTCTTAGTGCTACTGGAGTTATACCAAAGACAATACACCACAATTTACAACTATTAGGTTTAGACAAAAACACATACAAACATTTACAAAAAGCAGTCATTATCAACACATGCCATATTGTTCGTAAATTTCTAAACATAACACAAGATACTACATACAGAAATGATCCACAACGTATACATGTAAACAACAGTACTCGCTCACAACACGGTACACAGCATACTGTAATATCTCCACCTCTAACCCAAACAAACACACAAATACAACTTACCGAACAAACAAGTACAACAAATGATACAACATATACTACATTCAGAGATTCACCTCTGAAGCAAACCACATTATCACAACCCATTAGTATTCAACCCAAACGCAAAAGCCTAAACAGCACTTTAGACTCACAACATGACACACAACATACTGTAATATTTCCAACCTTAACTCAACCAACCACACAAACACAACTTCCTGAACAAACAAACGCAATAAATACAAGTAACGCAACACGCACTACAAAGACGCCCTCACCCACACGACCTAGCACAGCTGAAAAACACAATACTCTTTCTTCTCAGAAACACACCACGTTATCACAAACACAACCCACTCGTACTCAACCCAAACGCAACAACCTTAACACAGGCTCACAAAATACTGTAATGTCTCCACCAATAACCCATGCAACAACAGAAATACAACTTCAAGAACAAAGAAACACCATAAATACAAGTAACGCAACATGCACTACAAAGACAGGTCCATCCAATAAAGTTACACGCCCTAGCACAGTTAAAAAACACAATACTCCTTCTTCTCAGAAACAACCCACTCGTATACAACCGAAACACAAAAACCTTAACACAGGCTCACAAAATACTGCAATATCTCCACCAAAAACCCAAGCAACCTCACAAATACGACCTCAGGAACAAAGAAACACCATAAATACAATTAAAAAACACAAAACTCCTTCTTCACAGAAGCACACCACGTTATCACAACCCACTCGTATTCAACCCAAACGCAAAGCCAAAGAAACACTTACACAATAAACTCCATTTAATAAAATTACAGGAATTATTATAATGATTTTTTTTTTTTGTTTTGTTTTCCTCTTTCCTGATAGCGTTGGCTATTGTGCCCATCAATAGGTATGTTGGTAAGTACGAATTACATTATCCCTAGATGTCCAATGTACGTGTGTGATTTTTTTATTTTATTTTTTATTTTTTTTTTTATTTTTTTTTTATTTTTTATTTTTTTTTTTAATGACCCTACATAACTTCACCAGACACAGACACAGACACTAATCGTTACTTGATTTTAATCCGTGCGATTAGTTAACCAGGCTAGACCTGAGTTCTCACAAGAAACACCGATAAGAATAATAATAATAATAATAAAAAAGCAAGTACATATAATACCATTCATAATATCAACAACTGGAATCACACACAAAACATTTAAACAACATTTACAACAACTTGATCTAGATACATACACTCATCATCACATTCAGAAGGCAGTCATACTCAAAACCTGCAGCATCACCAGAACTTTCCTCAGAAATAACTAGCCAGACTTGACAATAGTCCGTTTGACTAGGATTAGAACCGGCAAGACCGAGAAAATCAAATAATAATAATAATAATATATATTTCATCTTTTGGCCATTTAGGTACATGGATAAGATAAGTCAAATTGTAAACAGACAAACAAACAGTAAGATTTACGACAAACAGGTAATGATAAAACTATCACACTATCACTGAACCAATTACTGATATTCCGCATGGTCTGATTACATTTATTTGCGACACGATTTCTATCTCTGTCTGAAACAATTATAGATGTATCATCAGCATATAGGGTGATGACAGCGTTTTCCTGTGCATGTTGTATAAGATCATTTGTGTATAGAATAAACAAAATTGGAGCCAGAACTGTTCCCTGTGGAGTGCCTACATTAAGTGTCACAGTATTTGAATTTATGAAGTTATTGGTACTTTCCCAAGTGTGTGTTAATGAGACGTATTGATGCCTGTTGCACAAAAAGTTGTTTAACCATTTCAAAGGAATACCTCGAATACCGTAGGAGGATAGTTTTGCAAGTAATCTATTATGGTTTAAGCAATCAAACGCCTTGGATATGTCACAGAACACTCCAATTGATGCTTCTTTTTTTCAATTGACTGCAGTATTTTATCTAAGAAAAATTGGACGGCGTCTGCTGTAGATGTATTTGGTCTGAATCCAAACTGATTTCGACTAAGTACATTACATTTTTTTAGGAAACTTTCTAATCTATCTAAATAGCAATATTCTAGAGTTTTTGAGAATACTGATGTTATGGCAATTGGTCTATAGTTGCTTGCATCTTCTGCACTACCGCTTTTAAAAACCGGAATTACTTTTGCTAGTTTTAAGGCAACTGGGAACTCTCCAGTCGCGAATGACAGGTTTACAATGTGGGTTATAGGTTTCGCAATTACTTTAGAAACAAATTTAATTAAGGAGCATGGGAGTTCATCCGGCCCTGCTGATCTTTTGTTTTTTATTTTTTTGTTTATAAGCGTTATCATTTCTGGTTCACAAAAGGGTGTTAGATACAAAGATTTTGGATTATGGTTTAGTTTAATTGTTTTGTTTGTATGTTTGGTAATTTTTGCAATTGTCTCATAGGGAATGTTTTTAAAGTGGTTATTGAAAGATTCTGCGACATCGTGGGGGTTTTCAATGTACACTGAACCCTTTTTCAATTTCAAGTTTCTAGTTTGGGAGCCGCGTTTGCCTTTTATAAATGACCAAGCGCTTTTTACCATGTTATCTGAGTTAAGAATAGTGTTTTGGACATACGCCCTGCGAACATGTTTAATTAGGGTCATATGCTTCCTTTTCATTTCTATGTATTGAGGCTTTAGCTCGGGATATTTACTTTGTAACATGTAGAATGACTTCAAGTTTGCACTAGACGTCCTCACGTCCTCATTAACCCACCCTTTAGGAACGTTTCCGTTTTTGTTCTTATATAGATAAGGAAAGACATTGTTGAAGTGGTGAGACACTATCTTACTAAATATATTAAAAGCAGTCTCTACATCCGATCCTCGTAACACTGGATCCCAATCTTCTATTTCCAATTGACTATAGAATTCTCTACGGCGATTTTCATTATAACTTCTAATCCGAATTTTTTCGCTATAACTTGGAGCATCTATATTTGATTTTATGAGAACGGTACTGTGATCAGAATTTCCATCAGTATCCTGAGTGCCTTCCGCTCCGCCCTCCTCAATGTTCGTCTGTTGCTCCTTGTTAGCGCGGAGGTGTTAACTCGGTATAAGATTGTCGGTGCTATGATCGTGTTGTCCGGATTCCCTGTGTCATTCTGAATGCGTTGGTTATTCTATCTTTCACTGTGTTATGTCTGCTGAGTGTGCTGCTTATGTACGCTCCCAGATATTTAATCTTGTGCTTCATAGTTATCTCCTTCCCGGCTATTATGATCTTCTCTCCTTCTTTGTACTGGGCGTTGCTGCCTGGGTCTCTTATCACCATGTAGCCCTTTTCGTTGTTTATTTGTAGGCCTACCATTTCCAGGTATACCTCGCTGGTTTGGACGAAATCCACAATGTCTTCTAACTTATCCGCGTTAGCGTGGTCAAGTGCTATCGTGAAGAGCCTTGGGGAAAGCGGACATCCTTGTTTGATTCCCCTGGTTTTCTTTTGCTACTCGGTCTTCTTCTCAAACCATTATATACCAGTATACCCCCTTAGGCACGCGTTTATGATTCTGTTGATTAGGAAGTTTGGCGTTGTCAGGGAGGTGGCTATTGCCTCATGCTTCACTTGGTCAAAAGCCTTCGCCAGGTCTATTGCTAGAAGCCATTTTTTGGTTCCTGTCCTCAATTGTTCGTCTAGGATCCTCCTGGTCGTGAATATATGGTGACCAGTTGATGTTCCTTTTAGGAATCCTGCTTGGTATGCTGGTGTCTCGGGTTTGTCGCCCCCTAGGCATTGTAGTAGGTAGGCCGCCTATATCTTGTACCCCGCACTGCATAGCGAGATCCTTCTGTAGTCATCTGTTCCTTACGGTGACCTGACTTTCGGGATGGGGATCTGCACTGTCTCCTTAGGGACTAAGTTCCTGGTCCATATCTCCTGTATCAGTGCATGTAGGTCCTTTATTAGCGATTCTGAGGCGTATTGGAATTCGGTCTGGAATCTATCCTGTCCTGGCATTTTCCCCTTCTTCAATCTCCCTATTATCTCCATCATTTCTTCCACCGAGGGGGTGGCGGGAGTGGCCAGTGATCGTCCTTCGTCATTGTTGGGCCTGTTCTTCCTGTTTCCCCTTCAGGAGTTTCTCCCACACTGTCCTGGTATATACAGGGTGTACCTAAGATACCTCGGATCCTTTACCATAAAATATACCGAAAAAAGTCCTAAAGCAAAATTGTACACATTTACCGTCGCCATATTTTTGATCACCAGGGACGTGCTGTATTCCAGTGGCGTATCAAACTTGCGTTTTCTTAAATGGAACACCCCATATTTTATTACTGATTGGGAAAGTACTTGAGAAATACTTATTTTTTTATGTAACATATTATATCCCTAACTAAACGATTTCGCTGTTATAACCTTTTATTGTCAAAATTTAACAGTTTTTCGAAATTTTTTTTGAGAAAAACTGTCGCGCGGGGGGTTTTGTTTTGGACTGAGGCACAGGTTAAGACCGCGTCCACGGACACATAATTTTTTTTAGGTACTTTATCAAAAAAATTAAATTTTTGATTGATCGTAAAATGTCATATTTTTTAAAAATCTCAAATGGCACCCCCCTAAACAAATTATACCTCTGGGTAGCCAAAACTACAAATTTTCCACTGATGTAAAGAAAACCACACATTTTATAAGAAAATTTCGGAGAAAACCCAAGTCGAAACGCCAATTTGTAAAAAAAGTTCTTTGCCTAACCCTAAGTGTGCCATGATGAAACAAAAGACTACCGGAATTGTGTGTTGGCGTTACAAGAGTATGCTGAGAGATATCCTGCCAGAACACATCCAGATCAAAATTTACAACTACTGGGAGTGCTAATTTCACTCACACTAATATGACGGTTGTCAACAGCTGTCCCGAGAACTTTCAATTCATGATCTTCAGCCAAAAGATGTAAATCTATCCAACACCTTTTGAAACACGCGTGGATTTGAATGTGTGCTGCCAGGATATCTCCCAGTGTACACTCGTGACGCCAGCAAACAATTCCGGTAACAGTTTCTAAGAAACAACACTATTCAACCATTCCTGCTTGAGTTTGGAACATTTTTGCAACTTTGATTAAAAAACAATCATACACTGCCGACACTGTACTGTTAATAGTGAGAAATGAACCTCTTTTGTTTCATCATGGCACACTTGGGTTTGCAAAATAAAGTTTTTTTACAAATTGGTGTTTCGACTGTTTTCTCTGAAATTTTTTTATGGAATGAGTGGTTTTCTTGGTATCAGTGGAAAATTTGTAGTTTTGGCTATCCTAAAAAAATTATGTGATTGTGGAAGAGGTCTTAACTTGTGCCTCAGTCCAAAACTTAGCCCAACGCGCGATTTAGTATCTCTAAAAAAAATTTCGAAAAACTTTCAAATTTTGATGAAAAAAGGTCGAAATCGTTAAAGTTAGGGGTATATTATGTTACATAAAAAAAGTAAGTATTTTTCAAGTACTTTCCAAATCAGTAATGGGGCGTTCCATTTAAAAAAATGCAAGTTTGATACGCCACTGCAGCACAGCACGCCCCTGGTAATCAAAAATATTTTAGAAATATTGCGACTTTGTGTACAGTTTTGCTCTAACACTTTTTTCTGTATCTTTTATGGTAAAGTGATCCGAGGGATCTTAGGTGCTACACCGTGTATTTTCTGTTTCCCCATTGTTTCCCCCTTCTGTGTTTTTTATGTGCATTTTTGCGCATTCCTCTCCATTGGTCGGAGCTTGGCGATGTTCTCCGCGAACTCGGCGAATTTCTTGATTTTGTGTTGCATAAAGGCTCTGTTTTTCTCCTCCTTGGCGTCCCTTTCTTTGTTTCAGGTTTGTTTGGGTTTCCCCATAACCTCTTGATTGCTCTTCTGTGATTATCCATGGCTCGCTTCCTATTCGGTTTCTGTTTCCCGAGTGTTTTCCTTGCTGCTTCTTTGAGCGTTTCAGCGATCTTATTCCAAGCTGGTCTTCCTTCCCCATTTTTGGTTCTGATCTCTCCCTGCTCCTTTCTATACTCCTCCCTTTTCTTCTCCCCTGACAGAAGTTTCACATCCCACCATTCGATTTTCCCGATTTGCTCCTTGTCATTTCCTTCCGCCCCCTCCCCCATCCATCTTTACTTTCCCCCTTACCATTTTGTGGTCCGATCGTACTATTTTTGCCCATATGCCTACTGTGTTCGTGATGCTTATTTCCTTTGACTTCGTCCTTATTACGTGGTCAATCTGCAATTCAGTGTTTTCCCTACTCCATGTTGTCAGCACCGTTTTGAACTTGCCTCAGTCCATGTAGGTGTACCATCTTCCTAAGCTCGCTGCCTTGCACATTCCACGTGGCTACCCTCATGCTATTGTCTCCTGTATCCTGACTTTCTCTTATTCCCTGCGAGGGACTCTTTCCGGGCACCATGCTCACACTGTATTCGTTGGGGACAGCGGCTCCTTTCGCTTCCTCGTATTCCTCTAGCCCTCGTGTTCTTTGGTGTTCCGCCTCTTCTTCTTCCCTATCATGTTTTCTGCCCTCACCACGCTCTCATAGTGGTTCCGGACATTGCTACTCCCTAGCCTGTACGCTAAGTGGCAGTGACCTGTGGCTCCCGTTGTTGCACGTGGTTCTATAACATGCTTCTCTCCTCCTTCCTCGTATACCACTATCTGCCTGTTGTATGTATTCGCCACCACCATCCTCAGAATCCCTGCTTTCTGTGCTCCCTATGGTACGCTTCGACTTTTTCCTCCATATTGGCATATTGATCATACCGGGATTCTAATTCCACTACGTTTCCCATCAATTGCGGGTACAAATCTTCCAGGTTTTCCCTGATGTATGCGTTGGTTTCTTCTCTAATCCTTATTTATCCTGATGCATTCTAGGAAGTATTCGTTTGTGCGCACTTCTTCTGTCATCGCTGTTACTTGTCATTAAGGTCTTAATCCTGATTCGGGTGGTGGGTGCTGTTTATTGATCGCTAAAAGAGACAGCTAGGAGAGATAGAAGAGGATAGGTACTCGGGTAGCAATGAAGAGGAAGGTCTCTTGTTCAAATCAAGAATTGGTAGGATAATTAATACGTGGGAAATTAATGCGCATAATCAATGTTATTAAGCTTTGCCGATTTCATTGACCTTAGTAGAGGGTATCATCATGGTTCCGCGATAATAAAAATGCACTCGACATACCTAATCAGTTGCAAAATGTCGACCAATAGAAGCACTATAAACGAGAAAGAAGTCTCATTTTTTAAAAATCTTAGTGAAGGATGGTGGAAAGAAGACAGTGGATTGCAACTACTGCACGAGACTAATAGGATGATGGGAGCTTTCGTACAAGACGAGTTGTTTCGAACCGGGTTAAAAACGCAAGATGCACCCGGTGGTGGTCAAGTGAAGATCTTAGAAGTGGGTTGTGGGGGTAAATTCAACCAAGCGTCAGTAACTGGGATGCAGTTTAGCATTTTTCAGGAGGTTTCCTTACTGAAATATTAGCTAGGATGGATTGTGAGGTGACAGCGATCGACGTAGCGCCAGAACTAGTTGAGATCGCGAAAAACCACGCCTCGTCCGATCCTGTAACGTCAAAGACCACTTACATTGCGCAGTCCATTGAAGACCATACGAAACATAACGCCGACAAATATGACATTGTTATCTCCAATTTTGTTTTGGAACACGTCGACGACAAAGAGTACTTCCTCGAATCGTGCACGAAGTGCGTCAAACGAGGAGGGCTGTTTATCGTCAGCGCGATAAGCAAAACAATATGGAGCTGGTTGATGATAAATCTGCACGAAAGGGTTTGTGGATATGTACCCAGTGGCACTCACGATTGGAATATGTGTATTACAGCGCAGGATACACACAAAATGATACGCAAAAGTAGGTATTTGGTTTTGGCGATTTTTAATCAACGTGTAACATTTGCAGATAATTTCGAAATAATCGAAACACGCGGGTACTTCCACAATATTCTAACTGGAAAGTTGTCTTGGTGGTCAGAGTGGTCTTTAGCTTATGTTATCGAAGCTAAAAAATTGTACTAGCGTACATCCCATTTTCGATCGATTAATTATTAAAATGTATTACAAGATAATCCATTTAAAAATAAATTGATAGAAAATCATAAAAAATTTGCCCCCCTCCTCCCACACCATTTGCATCTTCTTAAAAGAACGTTCGCCGCGTTGAAGACATTCTTCACGTCCTGTGACTACTCCGGTATTTACCCTACGAATTAGGAAAACGGCAGGAAAACCGAAGAATGCTCGAAACTGGCCTAAGGTAATTCCCATCTCTGCCACAGATGAAAAATTCACCTCAACTCAGGTTCGAACACCCGACCTCACGTGTCATCCCTTCGTTTGCCTGCTTCATCTCTTGGACGCCTCTTCACAAATCCATACTGTTTTGGGGATAATTTCAGGTTGTTGCCCGTTTCAGTCTTCCAGAGAGTATCCAGAGCGTTATCTACCACTACTTTCCAAATCCCAGGTTGGCTCGTAGCCAGGATTTTAACCACCACGGAAAGCATGTCGTCTGAGCCCTGTGCTTTATTTACCGACAGGAACTGCTATTTCCTCAACCTTCACTAGCTCTTCGGTTCCCAACCTTGGCTGCTCACCTTGAAGCGACGTCAAACTGTCGTAGTCCAGGGAATAGAGGCAAAATGCAAAATGAGAAGTAGTTCCAATTTCTTTTGCATGTCATAGACAGTCATCTGGTGGTTAAGAATATAAGTTTTCGACCTCCCACCCCTTGTGCTTACCCCCTACCACCCCCAAAACCCCTGAAATTTGGTTGGTTTCTTAGTTTTTCAATCATGCCTTTTTAATGGTTCACTTTAGAAAAAAATATTGTTATCAGAAATTGTAGACCATAAAATTCTACACAACTTTGATATACACTACTTTTTTCTGAAATGGTTATTAAAAAAGATATTGAGCTTGAGAGTTGGTTATATTTTTAAGAATTCTGAAATTTCTATGTAGATGTTTTAACCAAATTTCATACTTTATCTGTATAATTAAGGTGGTACGGAGGAATCACAAGGGGTGGGAGGTCGAAAACTTGGATTCTTAACCACCAGATATTCTTTCATGACATGCAAAAAAAATTGGAACTACTTCTCGTTTTGCAGGAAATGGTCCATTTTCAGTCTCTATTCCCTGGACTATCGTGGATAGGGAAAAGTTTCCTTATCGTAGGATCGGAAGTTGCGCCGTTCTTATCCCAATCTTACACGTCACCATTTAGTACGCCTTCCCTCAGATGTCTTTGTCTAGCTCATCGAACAACCCTTGCCAACACTTCCTCTTGCTGGCGCCAATCGGGTACTTCAACTGGTTTCTATCTCTTTTCAGAGCCGCCTTCTCCTCTGCCGCACACATCCCGGTTCGCAACTTGCGTTGGAACCTCCTTCTCTTCATTTACATTCATTACTCTTTTTGGTCTTCCGTCTCGCAGCTAATGTTTTTTGTTCTTCACATTTCTTAGCGCAATTTTTCTTTGCCAGCGATATCATTAATGTTAGAAAAACAAAGCTCTCAACTCTCTCAACCCTTCTTCTTACAAGCTGTTTATATTGTCAATTGGAATAACATTTACTCCTGCAGCCTTTCGAACCGATCATATCTTTCATAGCTGCACCTACTTCTGACTTCTCCAATGACATCCGTATTCACGTACGTTTCCTACCTTTTTTCGATTTCTGGTGGCTTCTCACGGGCCTTACTTATGCGGTCAGTTTTGCTTCTATGTAGGGGGAATTATTCGTTTCTAAGAGAGAGGTAATAGTAATTCGGGTTGAGCCGTCGTAGCGCTCAGGTCGAAATAACGCAGATCAAGACTCGCGTTGAGGCCTCTGTTAGCTCAAGTAAAAGATCCATAGCTAAAATTAGCGCCGAACCATTCGTTAGTCCAAATTGGAAACGTTCCAGTTCAGAAAATCAAAAGTAGCGCATCGTGGAAATAAACTTTCGGCAGAAAACGAGGCTGCAAATATGAAAAGTTTCCCCATAACCATCCGCTAATTGTAACAGAACACGTATGCAAATGTGTGCAAATAACCACATCATTATTTTACCAACAACGTAACATACAAAATCCTTATCCGAGAGTACCTTGAATCCAGTCCACTGACACTCGTTACGTTTAGGGACCATTCATGATTTTTGATTGATTTTTGAAAAGTCACTTGTTCTATCGTATTTTAACCTTCTCTTTCTTCTGTTTCAGGTTAGTTTGACCGCATCGATTTTAAGACAAATTTGGTAAGTCTCTTTTCTAATTGCACACGTTAATTTCACGCTCGATCGCCACCTCTTATATTATTACTTAAAATCTTTATTCGCAATTTTTAGAAACAATTAATTAACCAGCGTGCGATCTACGTACAAATAAATCGAATAAATTGAACATTGCTACTCCTTTTTTAGAAGGATTACAATATACCATAATTTGTTTTTTTTAATTGGTATCTACCTATACGTAATGCACCACAAGGAATTATATCTTGTCTTTTGTTGAATAATATGTAAATTATCGTGGTTTTTAACCACACGATTTACCGACTTAGTGTCAGACGTTAGACTTTGCTATTTCGCAATATTTGCATCGCGATTCGCTACCCCTTTCATTTGTTTGTTGTGTTATTGTCTGTTACAGATTTGCAGAACGCGCCCTTCTGAGCTCACAAAGTTCAAAGGTAAATCTTTTTAATTTTCGTCCACTCCTTGATTAACTTTTGATTACATGCTGGTTTTCGATAAAATCGAATTGTAATTATTACATTTGCTGGATATTCGCTTAACTATTATAGCTTCATTGTTTTCTGCCTGTTTTTGATATTAATACTTTCTCCGACTACGTATTGATCCTCTTTTTACTAAAAATTAATTCAAATTCAGATATTGACATAGCAGATATATACAGGGAATTTTTTCAAATGTATACATATGGGCGAGGTATGTATATTTGAAAAAGACAGATCAAATGCATGGAATAGATGCCTATAATAGGCAACCAACTCTGCACGAATTTTTTTGTTAATGATACTCGGCGTCTGCTATGGAAAAAGTCACTTGATTATTTCATGTCAAATTAGTGTTAGCCATTGGTCTTATTAGCATCAAATTGTGATTTTTTAGCACAAAGATGTATAGCAAAGGTGATAATATTGAAATATTAACGTGGTATCATGGTAGTAACAATTTAAGAACTGTAAAAACAGTTAAGTGTAATGTTGGTTGCCTAGAGCCATCTATTCCATACCGTGAATCATAATTCCATGCGTATGATCTGTTTTTATAAGTATTTATTGTCCATATGTATACATTTAAGAAAAATTCACTGTATAGTACAGTGACCTATTTGTAATATTTTTGAGATCATTGATTAAATCACCATCGATTGTGTGTTCGGTATCCGCCCAGTGGACGGATTGGGTTAAGATTGCACCTCGCGCTTTGCAAACCGACCCGCGCGGATTTTGTACTGTGTAACTCCGCTTAACGAATGCTCCTTTCCCACTATTTACACTCATATTTATAGCTATCGCTTTGTACATTCTGACTCAATAAGCGCTTTCTCATACAGCGATATAATAACACTTCCTCTGTGCTATTATAAGCTTTTTGTTATTTAACGCTCGGTTACGATAGATATAACTCGCTCTTTTTGCTCTTATTTTAATTACAATTACCCGATTCATTTATCTCGTCCCAAATATACACACCTATTGCAGCATACAATTATTTACATCTGAAACAAAATTGCATTTGTAAACCGCGATGATTACTAATTCCCCTTTAGCTTCCTTGCGGTTAAATAAAAACCAACGTGGGTTATGAATAAATTTGCAACAAATAACGCAAACGAGCTCCTGGGGTAATGATAAAAATAATACTGAAACACATTCTTTATTTATGAGTTCCTTGAATTTCAGACACTCATTAAATACATTAACAACCCTTAAATTACGGATACAAATTCACAAAGCTAAACATTACACCGACCATTAAATAAAATCCTGAAGTTTTGTGTCCTGTCCTGTAACAAAGGGTCTCTCAGGTCCTAAACAAATAAATTCCAGCATTGTACAGGATGTCCGGCCTGAAATTTCTAATGCTAAACCTACATTACGTTTACATCACGTAAATTTTCAACTACAGGGTGACTCGCTCTCATCGTCGGTATTATTTCAACCTAGAGAGATGAGACACCCCTGTAGTTTACACAACATTTCGACCAAGGACGTATTGATCCTCGATCCTGGATACGATTTGAATCTGCATATTCATCCTTGCTTAATTATTTAACTTTTATGCCCATATTACGAGTAGATGTATCAATGGATTTAAATTTCTCGTAGTGAAACGTGATATTCAATCATAAACCACAATTAGGACGAGCATCAAAGAATGGTAATTGCAATTTACTATATCCCGTTTTCTAAATGCAATAAGTAACAAAATCTGGCTAATTCAAGCCATTGTCCGCAATGAAAGCTTTCCTTTGTATGCCATATACGTAGTTTATGGCAGTAAACGTTTTTAGTACCGAAACCGGTATATGCAGCACAAGCAACAAAATTAATAGATCGAGAACAAAGAATTGGAACAATCTGATCTACCTACCTACTAAATTAGTTAACGATATCTGCAAACTTTCTATTAATACGAATAAAATGGTAATTGCGTAATCGAGTGTGTCATGTACACCGATGTAGGGTAGTAACGGAAGATTTAAATCGATGCCAACGTAGAACAGCCCTCGATTTTTCTACCACACCATTAAGGGATAATGCAAATGAAAATTTGGGGCTTTTTAAAATTTCGCGATACTTACACAACTGCTTAACAATACGTTATAAACATTAACAAATGCCTTATGTAACTAATTATGTTGTAAAGATCATAAATTACGCCCACGTTTAAGTAAAAAATTTAATCTAATTACGCAATTATTGCGGTTTTTTATTGGCATTTCGCTTCGGGTGACAAATCGGCATATATTTGTATAAATTTGGTACGGCAGTGTCTGGAAAATCACTTAACTGTTAGGTATGCTAAGACGACTAATGTTTAATTTATAACAGTATTTAGAAGGTGCGGTTAGACATAAATCTGCATTTTTGAAAAAATAGATCAAAGGTGGCTAGAATTTCCTTCGTCCTAGTCACCTTTCCGTATTTACCTCTTTACCTCCTCCGTATTTTGAATGGACCGCGTTGACAAACTAAACACCACGGACAGATTTTAAAGGGATACGTTCGTTGGTCTTGTTTTTTAATATTATTTATTTATTATTTATTATTCCTCTCTAAGTTCTGAGTCCTCAACACGCTTGCGCCCAATTCCAGCGTGATCCGCATAATGCTTTTTAGAGGTGCCCCTGCAGCCAGCAACGTTCTTCATTTAACCTGCTCTTGCGAGAGTGGTGAGATTATCCCTGCATCGTCCTGCACATTGATGGTTTAGATTAAATTGTCATCTTCAAACAGTAAATCCTTTCTTCGTTCCCCGTGTTATTGTAATTTCATTTGAGTTTAGTTTTGTAGCCGATCTTCCACCAAACTCAGTAAATCAGCATACATTCAGAATATTCCATTTAATTTTGTACCCGAATTAGGGAATCAAGTTTAATTCATGTAGGTTGTCATATTTTTACTCCAACCTTAACTCCAGACCACCAACCCCCTGTAGCCTTCCACGATACATATTATTTGGTCCTTCGAGCCGCATATTGTTAAGCTTCGCTCTTTCTTTGTTTCGCTCCTTTTTGGTGAGATCTTGATTCTTGTGCATTCTCCGCATTCTCCAGAGCCTCGCGCTGCAAGGCCTTACTCTCGCTAAAAAATAAGTAAAAATTTTGGTTGAATGAAAATAATATAATAATGTACACATATACGGTCTAAAATATCTGTCTGATTACCCGCCCAATATGTTCAAAAAACATTTTTTTAAAAATTTATTAACCCTATCCTTTCGGCTTCGGAGACTCTTAGGTATGTACATAGCATAGGTACATATATGTACAGGGTGGTGACTTGCGTAACGCATCATAGGGATTTCAATGTAAAATTCATAACATGCAATTATTGGCTCCCCAAATTATTTTAGAGCAAAAATGTATTAAGGTTTTTGTAGAAAAATTTTATTTACGCCAATCAACCGTATTAGTTTTCAATTTTTTTCATAATAAAGACGGAAAATTGGAAAAATAAAACCCGCATCTTTTTCAATAATCTGCGATGCCATGGAATTTTCTAAAACAAAAAAGTTATCAATTAGCAGCAGTTCGAAATGGATTTTATGATCGACTTGGTTACTGTCTTGCAGTTAATGGTGACTTATTCGAACATGTATTTTAAATTGTTATATTAGGAAACCGTTTTTAGTCATTTGGTCTTTCTTTATGTTGAATTCGCTGTTCTAAATATAATACTTTTTGATAGAATTTGATTTGTTTTATAGCAGACCTTCCATGGCATGACGGATATTGACGTAGTTTTTGTATTATAAAATTCCATGGCATCTCAGATTATTGAAAAAGATGCGGGTTTTATTTTTCCAATTTTCCGTCTTTATTATGCAACAAATTGAAAACGGTTGATTGGCGTAAAAAATTTTTTCTTACAAAAAACCTTAATACTTTTTTGCTCTAAAATATCCCTATGATGCGTTACGCAAGTCACCACCCTGTATATGATACTAAGTAGGTTTCGATATAAACAAATAAACTTTCTATTTCATTTTAATTCAACATCAGAAATAGCTAAATAATGTTTATTCTTATTCCTCTCTTTTCGCTTACTCTCTTCTCTGCAACGTCCTTCTCATCCAGTCGATTCCTCTTCCATCTTCCTGTAATATTTCCTTTACTGTTTTTCTCTTCTTGGTTTTGCTGCATCTGTATATCACGTCTTCTATCGCTCTGTTTCTTCCTTCCATCTTTTCCCGGTCCTGTTTTAATTTCCACATCAATCTTGCCATGGTTTTTATATTTTTGTTGTTCTTCTATAGATATTTGGCAAGTGTTTTTATTTCATATATATATGGCGAGTATCATCAGCTCCCTTTCGTGGTAGGTGAAAGTGTGTCTGCAACTACGTTTTTCTTCTGGATGTCGCACGGTCGGAGTTTCAAATTATAAAACAATTACCCCAAAAAAAAAAAAACTCTTTGTTTTTCATAGCTCATAGCTGAATTATAAATTTTGCATTTAAACCAATGTGTCAGCTTAAGTAAATCAATTTGAGTAGTAAGCCATGGAAGCCATATTGGAAAATATTCAAACAAAATACAAAGAAATAACATCTGTCACTTTGAGAGTTATAATAAATTCTGGTGTTGATTAGTTAAGTTTGTTGGAAAAACTTCTAAAATCCATAGTGAAGAGCACCGCTTAAATCATTTTTTCAAAGTACGTCGTTTCAGCACGATGGTGACCCACTTCAATTTCCTGTAATCGTTAAAGAATGACTGAATCAACAATTTCCTGGGAGGTGGGTAGGTGGAGGAAGCGCTATAAATTGACCAGCTCGCTCTCCAAACCCTACACCACTGAATTTCGTCTTATGAGGATACGTGAAAGGAACTGTATAGGTACAAAGAAGTCCCAACAACAAAAAGGAATATAAAAATGTGCATTTGTAATGCTTTTGCATCCATAACGTCAGCTATGCTTCGTCGTGTCAAAGAATCCTTTTCTAAACGCATCGAAAACTGTTTTGGTACAGCGCTGAGGATATTTTGAAAATTTATTAAAATAATAAATTGTTATTTTCCTTTTTATTTTGGTTTTTGTGTTTTTTGTTTTTGTTTGTTTTTTTGTTTGGGGTAAATATTTTATAATTTGGATTGGCGTTTATAATTTTTCACGGCGTACTAATTACTGAAACCCTTTGAAAATCGATAAACACTGTGATGGAGAGATTGTTGAATTACAAAAAATATGTAAAAAGTTAATAAAATCCTGCATTTGATGCAATAAAAAAAACTTTGTAGTGCTATTTAAAAAAATCAAGTACCTTTGATTGATTTCTTTTAACACAAAAGAAGTATAACTTTGAGCGTTCGCCGTACATTTCATAATTAGTGCCACTGCAGAATCACGGCCTTCCAAGTTTTATGATAATTTCGATATTCAATTTTTACTGAACCTCTACTTTTTGAAAATATCACGACTCATTTTAGATATCATGTGTAATACATTAAGTCACACTAAAATTGACCAAGGAATCGAAATATACAATAATATAAAGGGGTCCCATTAAATAAAATGCAACTTTGATGTATAACAGTTGCAATTTCGCTGAAAATGTTTTTAGGTTGTAGCCTCAAGGGTCCTTCAACATGCCCCCACAATGAATTTTAAATATATGCATTAATAAGCCCACAATCTTCCACCCACACACTAATGGCCCACCCTGTATAGGTAGGCTTTAGAATTCTATAACATATACTTCGATATCACATACCCTGTAGGTATCATAATTTTAAATTAAAGAGGAAACGTTAATCCCCTAAGTTAGCCGTATTGAAAAAATAAAGTGCTAATGTTGTTGCCTTGCGCAGCCCCGTATAGATTGTAATTATTCTATGGACCACCTACTAAATATTCTATAAGCGGAAATCATCGGACGTCCACTGTACGTACACTTTTGATACATGAACATGGACCTAAAATTGATCAAATATGGACGTCTAGTGGATAGATTGTGTTGTGTGGGCTGGCTCGCATTTTAGCCAGAGTCGACAATCGTTATTGTAAAACCAGAAACCAGAAATGCAGGAAGACATTTTGAATAATCGAAAAACCGAAGGAGAACTTGTAAGCTTCTAGAAAAATCTGGGCCCGCAAGTGACGTCACTACAGACGGCGAAAGATATCCATGATCGAGCAATCCTATCTTTTCCAATCAGTCTAGGTGACATTCATTTCTGTATTGCTGAACTGGTGGTCGTGCTGTTCCAATAGCCGTTACAGTTCATGGGTTCCGACGCCGACTCTCACGGTGTTGTCGAAGAAGACTGTACCGTTATGCCCTAGTATGGATAGGACGGCTGGGTGAAATCGAGCTATGAATAAATTCCGCACTCAAAGCGCAGAAATTGACACCATGGGGTGCTCTCATCTTCGGAGCGATGATTCAATCCTTGCACTCCCGACGTAGAACTCTCGGTTTGCCGCAGCCATAGCATCGCAAGACAGTGTTCGCTCCTTCTTCTTTCGACATACGCTGACATCGGGCCCTCGGAAATTGCAGAAGGAACATGGATTCCGTTTTGGTTCAGCTGCAGTCTGTGTCCACCATGGTCAATTCGGCGATTGGAGCCTCATCGAGAATGTGACAAATATCAGCCGAAACCTAAAGAAAGATACAGTTCAAGTACATAAAAAGCAAATCGCGTACTTACGAAGAAGAAGCAAAAACACAATTATATCCTCTCTATATATGAGGAAAAGATGAATCCGTCCATTACTGCCAAATCCCCCAATAAATGAATTCAATTGCTAAAATTAATAGAATATGGATGGCGGCAATTAAAATTCCATGCGTTTTCACTAACGCCTCAGCGGTTTTTCAAATGAAATGCACTCTTTTACAGCTCACCAACGAAAGAGGAAGACGAAGGTCGCCAATCGATAACCAAAAAGCACGTCGCCGGAATGGGCACAACCTTCGAGTTTATTTTAGGACGAACTTCTTGCTGAAAAAAAAAACTAAAGTCGAAGTTTGGACGGGGGATGTAATCTTAGAATTTGGCATTTGACTCAGGGGGTTCCATTTGTAGATCATGCATTGCGTTTATCGTTGATCGTTCAAGGTGTCCTATCGAAAATTTGTTGCCGAGATCTGAGGTCATTTCGTGTAATCGATGCATTCGTAACCTTTTTGCGCTTTTATTAATTATTACATTTTCAAGGGCGATTTCTTGGAAACCAATTGTCGGTTCTAAAAAAATGAAAACCGGTGTGTAAGAAATATTTATTTTTCAAATTGTGAGCCGTTTGACTTCTCGTTCCATTTAAGAAAGAGGTCCGTAAATTCATACGGAGACTATTTTAATTTTATCGTATTTGCCCAATATCTAATCAAAAGTGGTTAAAGATAAGTGCTTTTTTGTTTGCCGGTCAAAGTTGCATTAGCAGTCGAAAAGTAAAGTCTGTCAGCTCCGCGAACAACGGTCGATGAAGATCAGCTCGAGAGGTTTCAGAAATTAAGCGCCAATTGGTGGAGCGAGCATGGAGAGATGAAAGCACTGCACACGGTAGCGCGGAAGATGATACCTCAAATTGGAGGCGATTATGCCAAAGATGGACAGATAAAAACTGAAGCGATGACAGATGATTTACCGCTTGCGGGGTTGAACGTTTTAGAAGTTGGATGTGGAGGTGGTTAATCGTGATAGTAATTCCGAAAGTGCCTAAGGGTGTTCAGGTGGAATACTCAGCGAAATGTTGGTCAAGTTGGGGTGTAACTTAACAGCGATCGATATCGCGGCTGATCTCATTGAGGTAGCTAAAGAGCACGCATCTGCCGATCCTGTAACCTCAAAAATAAAGTACGTCTTCGAACCAGTTGAGGAGCACGCGAAATCGAATTTCGAAAAATACGACATCGTCGTGTCCACTTTTGTTTTGGAACATGTTAACGATCACGATTTCTTCATACAATCCTGTGTGCGGTGTCTGAAAAAGAACGGTTCGATCTTTATCAGTGCCATTAGTAAATCATTGTTGAGCTGGTTAATAATAATATACTGGTTGAACACATTTTGAGAGTGGTTCCTAAAGGAATACACCCATACGAGCTCCTGATTACCGCTGAGGATACTCAAAAAATCCTAAACGCATGTAAGACTGCTGTGAGGTCCTTAAACGAAAGACTGATGCGATTTTTTTAGATAACTGCCAAATCAAGACCACGCGAGGATTATACCACGATCGCATCACCGGAAGAACTTACTGGATCCCTACACTCAGATTACTTTATCTAACTCACGCTGTCAAAAACGTTTCAGAGGTCATGTAGTAGAATTAAAAAATCAATAAAAATGGGAAATTGACAGATTGCTTAAGATTGAACTCCACATCACGATTTTGAATTAGATAAGTCTGCACAGCATTCGTAATATATGATGGGGATAGCGAAAGTGGCCTACTGAAAGTGAAAAAGCAGAGCAGATCGGAGCAAGGTTGTTTCATAATACGTTCGTGATTCTAATATGCACCATCAGAACATGTCGATCTAGTAATTCGCACGTACACTTGGATTTGTACGTAATCCTACAATTAATTACATTTCAACGATTGTAGGGAACGTTCTTTTATGTGTTGATTAGTTAATTAACGCAATTTCTATCGCTCACTACCTACATCGATTTATTTCTCATGGTGTAATCGGAAGAAGTGCATGATTCTGATGTCTCCCCTACCTTTTTTTAAATTTGTCGTTTTTTGTAACTGGGAACTTATGTTCTATCATCTGTCAATAAATGAAAAAATACTCGTGCTAAAATAGACCAATTGTTATACACGCGTTTCTTATAGTACGTGCAATATATTATAATTTAAAAATGCGATATGATTCGATATTCACTTTTCAGTATAGGGAATTTTTGACACGACTTTTAATCCGGCTCATATTCAATATCGCTGTCTCTTTGCGCTCCCAAGTTAGATGCGGAACAGACGGGCGGACAAAACCATTACTTTCCCTTAAAAGAAGTAAAATAAAATCATATCGAATTTATACTCGAATACATTTCTGATTAAGTGGGCTGCTTATTCGAAATTCCATGATTGCCATCGAAATGTCACTTGAAATTTATTTATAAAAATCAACGTGTTTAGAAATAAAATGAGTTTGAGAATAAGATAATAGACCGTCTATTCGGTGGTTTGATGCAGAAACTGAAGAAAAGTCGCTACCTACAAAATCCAGTCTATTGCAAAGGTAGGTACGCCACTCTTACCTTTCTCCAGCTTTCGGGATATACCCTACAGCCAGGGAGGCTCTAAAGAGGTGCAACAAACACAAGAGCAGCGACTTCTACCGGGAATATCTCGTCCGGTCCTGCACTGGGCTGCACGTGTTGACCGCCCATCTCACAGATCCCTGGGTAACCACTTGGGCAGCGACTTTCCAGTCGATCGGTCTTACACCGACCCGGGTAGCACCTTTTCAAGGTCTAAATTCCATCAAGATGTTCTTGTCGTTCCTCGAAAGGTCCGCAGTTAACAGTTGCCCTTCGCCCTTGTCGCTTTCTAATGCGGTCTCTTCCACCTGCTCTGCTTTCCGACACTGCAAAGATGGTCCATCCAACCGCTCGCTCTGATAGTTTCGCCACATAGCAGTCCCAGTCAGTGGATCGGGAATTCCGATACGATACGATAAGATTGAAAAGTGTCCAACCTCAGATCGATAACTCTTGTCTCCGCGCTGTGGCGAAGATATGGGCTACTCCCTGAAAACATGCCCTATAAGATGGCCCTCCCGTCCTCCATAGGCTCGTCCTGAAACCAGGATAATGCCTCTGGAGGCGCTTCAAGATGGTGGCCGTGTCATCCGTGGGTCCGTATAACATAGCCATTATCTTGGTTACTCTAGAGGCGTCCGTCTGAACTGTTAGAGACATTAGGGCACAATGGCACCCTGGGAATTCCAGCGGAACTCTGCACCACAGAATCAATTAACAAATTCTGATGTAATTCTGGGTAGGAAATAGAAAAGTTTAATTTGAAAGTTCTTATCTGGGTCGTAATTTGGGCTCGATTAATCACAAAACCAACCATTTACAGAGGAACAAATTTTTCCGACCTAAAATAATGAAATCCTCTGAAAGAAAAACTTGCACTCAGGGCCACAATCACACATACCACGCGACAAGCGATGGATTGAACAATTAATTAAACAAATCATTTTACATTAAAGAGTCAATAATCGAAAACCTTTGGTCGTAACTGCCATTTACAATAAATCGAAACTTCACTTCTCGGCTTCAATTATAGCACTCGAATGTAATTACAATTGTAACATTCGCCCTTTGATTCCCATTAATTGATACTTTTTTTTATTATTTATTATTATAAATAAATAAATTTAAGAAAACGCTCGATAACCACAGCACTCCGGCTAAGGTTCTTCGTAAACGGGAAAAAGCACGCTTCCGCTTAACACGGCGTAAAGAAAATTCTTTAAACACTCGAAAAAAACTTCTTATCTACGACCGGAGAAAAAACATGAGATAAACTTTAACAAAACTACGCAAATAATTATAGGTGTTTCTCTTTCTATAAAAACAGTTTTACAATAATGTAGGTAGACAAATCGATTATTTAAGCAAAATTAAAATCTGTAAGCCATTCCGATGGAATACAAAATTGACCTCGAATTCAACTAATATGATCAAGTTTGCTTTAACCAACAAATTAACGACCGCATTTACGCTAAAAAATAATTAAAATTCAACAACCGTATTACCATGATTTTTACACTGCATCGTACCTTTCATCATGCGCTAAAATGCGGCGTAAACAGAAATATTTGCGCCATTATAGTTTTTTTAAAGAACCCTCTATAGCAGGCATGTCAAACTCATTTATCATCAAGGGCCATTTTAAAGTTTCCATTTATAGCTGCGGGCCACATCATAAGAAAGTTCACATAAAAAATGTTGATTTTTTATTATTAACAAAAAAGTATACAAAACAATACAAAAAAACGAAAAAATGCAAATAAAATCATTAGTACGCGCTCAAGAAAATATACCGTGTGTCCTATTTTGGTCGAGATTGCAGTGTATTTCAGTTGTTTTTAAAGATAAGAGACTTGTGGTTTTCGCGACCCTGTGCCACTTTTTTGTGAAATAGAATCAATCCAACTACTTTTGTTTCTGAGGCCTGAGATATAGGGTGAATGTGAAAAATTGGACTTTTTGTGATGTTGTCATATCTGACTACCCATGTAAGATAGACAAAGGTAAAAATTGCCTATTTTTACGTAGAATCCAGTGACATAGTAAAAAAATTTGGACAACCGTTTCTGAGATTTGACCCAAATTTGATATTTTTAAATGCAACACCTTGTATTGTATGTTAACGTCAAACTTGTTGCATTCTTTTTCGTGATTATATTAATGTATCGTCCATATTTATTTACCATTTTTCAAAATTTTGAAATGACGTGTTCCGTCAGCCATTTTTGTTGATTGACAACTGACTGACAACGACTGCTTTAGTTGCAATGGAGACAATAAACAAAACAAAATCTCCATGAATCCATGGCCTACTATTTAAAGAAGTAAAAAAGGTTTTTATTGTTTATTGTTTCATCGCTAAAATTAAAAAAAAATAGGTTGTGATACATCAATGTAATTAGGAAAAGGAATGATAAGAAATTGACGTTAAGATATACAGAGTGTTGCATTTACTAAATACCAACTTTGGGTCAAACCTCAGAAATTTTTCGTTTTCACCCTGTATCTCACAGCGGAAATTTTGAAAACATGGAACTATACAAGCCTAGGTTCATGCTTCCTTAACAAAATATCAAAAATTGAAAGAAGAAATCAAATAAGGTGTCAGGGGTTCTAGAACGAAGCCCTCCCAAATGGAAAAAGACCATTATTTGTGGTCTTTCTCGAAAGTAATAGACTTTTAGATTTTAAAAAATTCAATTTAAAACTGGGACCCTTTTGTAATATTAGCTGTCAATAATTGTAAAAAAATACGCACGTGGCAAAAAAAATTGGAAAAGTATGCAACGAGATAACAAGTTAAAAAGTAATCGTAAACGATTTACATAAAGCGCATTTCCACTTGCATTCATTTCCCATTTGCAAGATGCAACTTCTGTTAAAATCGTAAAAATCCGGCCACAAATATGAAAGATAGCGTTGCACATGGGCAATCCATTGTTGACGTGCTACTTCAATCTCAGTTTATGAGAAGAATTTCATTTCAATGCTTTTTTCCTAAATAAGAAGTTGGAAACTTGCGCAGCGCAAACCCCTAAATTTTAAAACTAATGTTAGATTTTCCTTTGTTCCAAGCGCCTAAGGTATCAAAATTTCACTTAAAATAGTTCCATAAGATAAAAAAGTTGGCACTGCGCATGCGCAAAATAAAATTTTGAAACTCGCGCTAGATTTCCTTTATTCCAAGTGCCTATGTATCACATTTCATTTAAATTCTTCCATAAATAAAAAAGTTGGCACTGCGCATGCGCAAAGTCAAATTTTGAAACTGGCGTTTGATTTTCCTTTATCCCAAGTGCCTATGTATCAAATTTCGTTTAAATTCTTCCATAAATAAAAAAGTTGGCACTGCGCATGCGCAAAACCAAATTTTGAAATTGGCGTTTGATTTTCCTTTATCCCAAGTGCCTATGTATCAAATTTCATTCAAATACTTTTATAAGTAAAAAAGTTTGCAATTCGGTTTATAAATGGTAGAGATGCGAAAAGGGCACTGTGAATTTTGAATCGATTCGATTCAACTTTTGGCATTGCGTATTATATGGCTAAAGCTATGTCCATATTGAATTTCATGCAATTCAGTTCATAACTAACGGAGATGTAAAAGCGATCGAACATTTCTAAACAAAGTTATCGTTCACACGGACAGATAGATGGACAGACAGACAAAGGAACAGACGGAGAGACCAACCGGCAGGCGACAGATAGCAATGCAAAATTATAAACGATCTCTAGGATCGTAAATAAACGGCAAAAGTGTAAAATTATGGAACATGTAAAAAACGGTTTTTTGTTTTTTTTACAATAACTTTTTTTGTAAGCGGTACAGAAAAAATTCCTTCCTTGGTACAAGACTCGACACCATAACGAACCAAATAGCGAAAAAAGTAGAACAATAGCTCTTAAGATAAAGAACTAGTAGCGTCGCAAAGTTAGCGGACGGACGGACGGACGGACAGCCGGACGGACGGACGGACGGACGGACGGACAAAGTGGCCACAATAGCGCATTTTTTTTTTATTTTTGTGGAAATGCGCTAAAAATGTAATTTTGTTTCAATTCCTTCATCATAGCTAGACAAAGAACATAAAAACTCGCCTCGTCTAATTGCAAACCGATCTTTCTGTACATGCACGTTGTAATATTATTTCTCAAACTTTCGAATCGACTTCATAAACAAAACTTTTCGAAAAACTATTAAAATGAAGGGATCTCGTACTTACAGAAGGATCGACAAAAACACATTTCGAATCTCC